AAAGTAACAACGAGACATCTATCCCGATTTTTAACGAGCTTTATTGTAATATTTCCGCAAATAACATATATATTGAATAAATACCTCATAAATGTATCTTTGCAATCTGAGTACAGTAGTGTCTCCCTAATTGACGTTCAGATTGCGCAGGAAAATGGACAGTTTGGGAAGAGGAGATACGATTGTTCGAGCCTTGCAGCTCGTTTTTATAATCGTTGACAATTCGTAACTATAAAAACGAACCGCGAGACTCGAATAATCGTATCTCCTCTACCCAAAGTGTCCATTTTCGTGGACGATCTGAGAGACAATCTGAGCATCGATTAGAGAGACATTACTGTAGTCGTAAATTAAAAAAATACCAGCGAGCCGTTATGAGAATTTCCGTGAAGCTAGCGTTAAGGACGTGAAGTGCGCTTCCACGCCGAAGAAAGATCAGCACGTAGCAAGACAACGCGCGCGGGCCGCTGGAGCTGCCAATAACTCATTCAGCGCGCCGCGAAAGTGTAAAAATCGGAAGTTTGAAGCGTGCAGACAGCGTCGGGGAACTCGTAGGAGGTTGGCCGGGGTTATGGGGGTCACTGGGCCTCGACGACGATCGAATGGCACCGTCCGTGGTGCGCGCGGTGGTGTGCACGCGTCTCGGGCACAGGTGCGAGCTTCGAAGCGTGTGCAAACGAGCGCGTCGCTGGCCCGCGCGGGCTCGCGCGAGCCCGCGCGCGCTCTTGCGTTTTATCTCGCCTCCGCTCCGCGCGCGCGTGCATGTTAAACCGTGTAAACACGCGGGCCTCGCCGGTGTGCACGCCTAACGGCCGCGGCTAGATAGGTATTTAGGTTCGCCGGCGGCGCTTCCGCCTGCGGTGCATCTTCTCACGAGGCCCGGACCGTGTTATGCCGGCGATCTTATCGCTCGCGGCGAATGCCCGATACCGCGGAGAAGTCGCCGTCGCGAATCGGCCACGGACACTTCCGAGGGATAGACGATTGTTCCCATCTAGCCGCGTGAAATCGGCTTTTTAGCGGTCGCTGGGTCGCCGCGCTACGACTCGATCCGGTGACCCGCGTGGGTGTTATTTCTGAGGATTCTTTCGGGACATTCGACACGCGAGATTTATCTTCCGCGCGGTGCCGGCGCGTTTCAGCTGCGAAGCATGCTTCGGAGTTAGTCCGTTGGGTTACGATGTTACCTTCCTGGCAGCCCGCGGCGTGGATTATGAAGAGCACTGGTCAGGACGCTTTGATCTTTACTTGACCATTTTGTCTCGGGGCCATGAAATCGTTGCTTCCTTGATTAGGACGATAGGAATTGCGGAAATTCAGAGGCTGGACTTTTTTGAACCGAGCGTATTGATCCTTTGGGTCGATTCGATAGTTTCGATAGGTTTCGATAGGTACGATAGGTTTCGATAGGTTTCAATAGGTACAAAATAACCTTGACATAATCGGCGACGTACGTCAATTTTGACGTCTTATGATCTCACGATCGCTTGCAAAACGAGCTATAAAGTTTGATCACTGCTAGAACGTTAACCCTTTGCACTCGAAGAGAATTTTGACTGAAAATATAAAATCATTTTTCTGACTTATAGTATTTCTACTTTATATGACAAAATGCATTTTATGCATATGAAATTGAGTCTTGGGATTCGCACCACAGTTACACACTTAACAATTTTTTAAATCTAATCTTTGTTAACACATTGCGGACGGGGCTCTGCGCGTTCAACACGCCCTCAAAGACCGCACATTTTCGAACGCTCCAAAAACATGCTTGGCAAGCAACAGGAAGCGGATACGCACATTTCTAATTTGCATTTAGTATTCTTAAATAATACTATATATACATAGTTTATATATCTGTTTATTATATAAGATTTTTTACATTTTAACTATTATTTATTATACAAATTTGAATATTGATTTAGAGTGGCTATAATGACTGATTATTTCTACATGCTTGGAACGATTCATTTGTTTCGCTAAAATTACTTAGGAATGCGGGAGGCTTTGTTACCATGGTTACGTAACAGAAATATTTGCGGCTGGTTGCTTGTTGCCGATTAAATAAAAAAAACATGAAAACGAGATATCTCGTGACCCGTCCGCAACGTTCAATTTGCTAAAAACGAGATATCTCGTGAGCCGTCCGCAATGTGTTAATATCAAAATTATTTTACAAGATAATATAACAAATTTTAGTTGTGCCTCAGAGTCACCACTCGAGTACAAAGGTTTAATAGTATGATTTCAAACATCGTCTCACTTCAATGGTGACCCTACTACAACTGGTCACAGTTTCTAGAGTTCGGAGACACTTTTAACGATGTTCCATGCGCAGAGAAGAGTTGGGTCTGGGACCCAGCGATGGTGGATAAAAATTTGGGTCCTACCAATTTTTGAAACAAAATGCCTGACGATCGTGTTCCTGGTAATTGTTGGATGTATGTGTATATCTGAACTCTTTGATAACGAATACGGATTTGATACGTTATTTGATCACGAATAACCCTTTGACGACATCAGGACTGTCTACCTTATTCCAAGAATATTGCAAGCACGTAATTTGATTATGTATACTTATAAACATAGTCATATATGGGATAAAAATAAACATATCTGGGATATAATTGTTCACATTTCCCATTAATTATGTCTCTAATCGATAATCTGGTTCTCTGAGGAAAATGTTCTTAATACGTTTAAAAATCTTCATCCTTAACACGTTCCGTGCCGAGCTTTTTTTACTCGAATCTTCTCACTTTGATATTTTACTAAAACTTGATGTATTACGTGCAATTATTAATTCTCGTACACATAACAACGTAACAAAAACTTATCAACGCCCATTCTTGCGGTGGAAATTGATTCTTCGGTTCTAAATTTCTTGTAAACAATTTGTTCAGTTCACTAAGTAAACATGCAAGCGTGTACCATCGATGGTACACGTGGCACGGAACGTGTTAACAGGTGAATTATAATAAAAATCGTGAAAGATCTAAATCAAGCGAATCTTGCTCATCTTAGTGGCTACTTTTCAAAAATTAACAATGCTAGTTTATATCCTTCGTCGCATTAAATTGTTGCTAACCGAACATCGTTCAATAACGTTTACGACAGAAAGGCAAATAAGACTGGCCTTTGTCGGAGTTGTCTGGCTACGGGTCACAAGCGACCCGGAACCGGCTGGGCAAGGGTGAAAGAGTTGCTCGCCGCCAGATGGTTCACCTAACTCGGCCCAGTGACCCGAAAAACGGCAAGTTTGCTTATGATCGAAGTGGTTTTCGGTGGCCCCTCCAGCGAAACGAGGAAAAAGACACCATGATTGGTGGCTGCTTCCCTGGCCCTCCCCTCTCCGGCGGGCCTTCCCCTTCCCCGTCTGCTCCGGTTAATTATTCTCGCGTACTTTTCGCTCGCCGGCACGTCCGGGCGCAACGACGAATCATTAATCACGCGTGACACACCCGTACCAGCGATCTAATTATCGGCTAAAGGAGCACCGAGCTCTGGCGGATGCGGGGAGCATCTTTGGGACAACTTGACAGGTGAGGTAATCAGGAGGACCTGATTCAGCATCGCAGAAACATTATACTTGGGGGACACATTTTTGTCGAAAGCGAAGAAACGGCAGTAGAAATTCCGGAACGCTGAAACGGTCGGGAACTTATAATCGAAATGGAGAAAGTCATAAAGTGAGCATTATTCTCCGAATTAAAATATCCATAATTATGAAAAGCGCCGTGGATTTTTAGCCAAAATAAAAATAGTTCGCACCAATCGCGAGAAATGGAGACCAAATTGCAAAGCCGTTCTTTCTTTAATCATTCTAATCGATTCAAAATAATAGACCGACAGTTTAAAATTCCTTTAATCTTTATACTGTTTCAAATTAAATCTACCAAATTTTGTCATAAATGCATAAAATAAGTAGGTGTCGTTTAAAGTAGCAGACTAATTAAAGGGGTTTACGAATGTCAATTTATTAATTTCAACTTACCGAAATCGTCAAAGAAAGAAGCTTTCTAGTCGATTTTCGGTTCTTGCAATTGGCGTAAACAATTTTTATTCTGCATAAAGAACTGCAGTCTATTGATTACTTATAGTACTTGTAAATGATATTTTTAACCCAGTATACGTAAAATGGGAAAAGCGTCATTAATCGTACGTTTTTGCATCGTAAATACTTGGCTCGTGCTGCGCCTAACGGCTGCGACCATTCTTAGGTATTTAACGAACCTGGACAGAAGCTAATTACTCACTGTCCTGTCATGTTGTACGCGTTTTGCAACTGTGTATCGGAAGGTGACGTCCGTTGCCATGCGGAGCGGTTCGAACGATGGCGCAAGTCATCGTGTATTCGGTCGTGTTAAATGTACCATGCACCGAAGAGGGAACTAAATTCGATGCTGGTGTGTCGGATGTTTGCATAATCGGTTTTAGAGACCGTGCAAGACATGCAACGATCCGTTGCATTCGCACATCTGCCTCCGCTGTCGGAATTCCGGCCGCGAAATTAGATCAGCGAATTTCCTTCGTACCAAGAAAATTAGAATTAAATTAACAGCGATGGCTTCCAATAGTTGCGCGTTAGACATCTCTGTAGTTAAATTGTTGAGATGGGAATATAATATTCTATTCCGATGAATTTAATTGTTTCTTTAAAATCAGAATGATGTTAGAAAGAGTTTGAGCTTACGAAGGTTTCTATTTTATCGGTCTTTAGCATTGTCACTCTATCGCTCCAAAAACCTGATAAAATCAAAGGCTACTATCAATAAATCAGTGCCTAAAATACAAAAATCATTTAAACAATTTGAAAATATTATTGTATTACCGAAAACTCGTTACAACGAGCGATCACTTCTTCGACTCTTTTGGATCTACAAATTCAAGTTTCCACTGCATTCACCTCCGAAGATCTCTATCTATCTCCGAAGATATAAATGCACGATTTTATGAATAAAATCATTCCGTCGTATAACAATGATCGTCGTTAATTGCAGGTGTTGGGTTGGCTGTGCAAGAAAGGCGAGGACATCCTGACGAAGCACGCGCAGCACTCTGTCACGAATTTGACTGCGGCGCGGCTGAACGAGAGGGAATTCGAGAAGTTCTATTTCACGTCGATGGTGAGTATCCTAATTCGCCACATAATGGAGCCTCGAAAGCGGTTCACGAGACGCGAGACGGTGTCCCATATGTGCTCCGGAGTTTCACTTTTTTCACGTCTCATCGAGTCGTTCGTCACGCTTCGATACGGAAGAAATTCGGTCGGAGAGTCGCGCCGGAATAGCCGAAAGTTTATAAAAGGCTCGCCGTCGGAGCTGGTACAGCCGCAAAGGTCGTCGACAGTTTCGCAAACTTCTCTCGTAGAAAAGATACACGACGCTTGAGAGAGAAAAGAAACGGGACGCATCGAAGTCTCTACCCGTGAACAGGTAGAAACGCGGTTGTCCGATCGGATCTGGCCGAAGAGAACGATTTAGATCGGCCCGACTGGACAATTGAATGTCTAACCATGATCGGCGAGTTTCTTTTCCGGCGATTACTATCGAAATCTGAATTGGAATCTCCCGCAGCCAGTGTTTCGAACGGGACCGCTAGAATTGCGATTCATTTTGAAACGATTCGAAGCGATCTATGGATCGGTGCTGTTTTACCGGCGAGCCGTCCGTCGGTACAAACGCTTCTAACTCGGCCTGCAATTTTCTCGCCAAGATCGTCGGCGCGATCACTGTATCGCAGTCTCCTAAACACGGTATACACAAGGTAATTGATGATAAAATTGGTGCGTTAGGGGAACGCGAGGAAATCGTTGGGAAGTTTAACGAGCAATTAAATCGCGCGCTAGATCTCAGAGACGAAGGGTAATCCCCGTTGTCTAGTCACGTGGCGCCGCCAATCGCCGAGCTCTCCAAACAGCTCGCTACTCTACCGACCGAACAATGCCGCGAACATTCGAACGGATTAGAAAGTCGGCATGCCTTCAAATGGCAACGATTATTCCGCTCCCGTGACCGTAGGCAACCGCGATTCGAATCGCGTCTAACGCAATCGGCAAATTGAATCGTGGCGATTGATTCGAACAGCCGAACCTATTTCGCAACTTTCGCAATTAGAGATCCATCCGCGAGGGAGTCGATTAGCGATTCTACGCGATGAGCCTCTAAGTGGATACCGGTGTCTGTCGAACGATCGTGCAAGCCCGTGTCCAGCGACACGGTCGTTTTGATAACGTGACCTCTGCTTTCCCATTTTCACGATAAGAAACTCGGAACTCCGAACCGCAATTAAGATCCTCGCCGGCGACTCGGAGAAACGCTCCTTCAATTAACTTCCGAGATAAAGATAATTGGACGTTCCGAAGGGAAACGATCGAAGCGTGGAGGCTCTTTCTTCGCTTCCTACTTTTTCAACCTCTTCGAGGAGTACTAACCCGGTTTTAGAACATTAATTGCGATTCTTTCGAGTTGAACGTGGAGTTCGAATTGTAGACACGCCATTGTTATTCTCAATTACTCAGCTGCGGATTCGATAGATCTATCATAAAAGTGAGTATGTGCGATCTGAAACGGTGAAAAGATTCAAAGCACTTAATAATGTCGATGCTACTCGCGGCCTACTAATATGATCAAAGAAGTATTAAAATGATTAATTTCGCACAAATATCCGCAGTCTAGACACTCAATTATAACACGTCACGCAATAAGTCTGACACATATATGGCAATACTGTTGATAAACCTATATGATTTCTGGATAGAGATGTGTATAAGAGACAGACGCTTCGAATTGCTTCCCAACCCACCGTACTCTCTAGATCTAGCTCCCAGCGACTACTGGCTTTTTGCAGACATTAAAAAGATGCTCCAGGAAAGAAATTTGGCTGAAATGCTGAAGCGATTGCCGAAACAGAGAGATGTGTATAAGAGACAGACGCTTCGAATTGCTTCCCAACCCACCGTACTCTCTAGATCTAGCTCCCAGCGACTACTGGCTTTTTGCAGACATTAAAAAGATGCTCCAGGAAAGAAATTTGGCTGAAATGCTGAAGCGATTGCCGAAACAGAGAGATGTGTATAAGAGACAGACGCTTCGAATTGCTTCCCAACCCACCGTACTCTCTAGATCTAGCTCCCAGCGACTACTGGCTTTTTGCAGACATTAAAAAGATGCTCCAGGAAAGAAATTTGGCTGAAATGCTGAAGCGATTGCCGAAACAGAGAGATGTGTATAAGAGACAGACGCTTCGAATTGCTTCCCAACCCACCGTACTCTCTAGATCTAGCTCCCAGCGACTACTGGCTTTTTGCAGACATTAAAAAGATGCTCCAGGAAAGAAATTTGGCTGAAATGCTGAAGCGATTGCCGAAACAGAGAGATGTGTATAAGAGACAGACGCTTCGAATTGCTTCCCAACCCACCGTACTCTCTAGATCTAGCTCCCAGCGACTACTGGCTTTTTGCAGACATTAAAAAGATGCTCCAGGAAAGAAATTTGGCTGAAATGCTGAAGCGATTGCCGAAACAGAGAGATGTGTATAAGAGACAGACGCTTCGAATTGCTTCCCAACCCACCGTACTCTCTAGATCTAGCTCCCAGCGACTACTGGCTTTTTGCAGACATTAAAAAGATGCTCCAGGAAAGAAATTTGGCTGAAATGCTGAAGCGATTGCCGAAACAGAGAGATGTGTATAAGAGACAGACGCTTCGAATTGCTTCCCAACCCACCGTACTCTCTAGATCTAGCTCCCAGCGACTACTGGCTTTTTGCAGACATTAAAAAGATGCTCCAGGAAAGAAATTTGGCTGAAATGCTGAAGCGATTGCCGAAACAGAGAGATGTGTATAAGAGACAGACGCTTCGAATTGCTTCCCAACCCACCGTACTCTCTAGATCTAGCTCCCAGCGACTACTGGCTTTTTGCAGACATTAAAAAGATGCTCCAGGAAAGAAATTTGGCTGAAATGCTGAAGCGATTGCCGAAACAGAGAGATGTGTATAAGAGACAGACGCTTCGAATTGCTTCCCAACCCACCGTACTCTCTAGATCTAGCTCCCAGCGACTACTGGCTTTTTGCAGACATTAAAAAGATGCTCCAGGAAAGAAATTTGGCTGAAATGCTGAAGCGATTGCCGAAACAGAGAGATGTGTATAAGAGACAGACGCTTCGAATTGCTTCCCAACCCACCGTACTCTCTAGATCTAGCTCCCAGCGACTACTGGCTTTTTGCAGACATTAAAAAGATGCTCCAGGAAAGAAATTTGGCTGAAATGCTGAAGCGATTGCCGAAACAGAGAGATGTGTATAAGAGACAGACGCTTCGAATTGCTTCCCAACCCACCGTACTCTCTAGATCTAGCTCCCAGCGACTACTGGCTTTTTGCAGACATTAAAAAGATGCTCCAGGAAAGAAATTTGGCTGAAATGCTGAAGCGATTGCCGAAACAGAGAGATGTGTATAAGAGACAGACGCTTCGAATTGCTTCCCAACCCACCGTACTCTCTAGATCTAGCTCCCAGCGACTACTGGCTTTTTGCAGACATTAAAAAGATGCTCCAGGAAAGAAATTTGGCTGAAATGCTGAAGCGATTGCCGAAACAGAGAGATGTGTATAAGAGACAGACGCTTCGAATTGCTTCCCAACCCACCGTACTCTCTAGATCTAGCTCCCAGCGACTACTGGCTTTTTGCAGACATTAAAAAGATGCTCCAGGAAAGAAATTTGGCTGAAATGCTGAAGCGATTGCCGAAACAGAGAGATGTGTATAAGAGACAGACGCTTCGAATTGCTTCCCAACCCACCGTACTCTCTAGATCTAGCTCCCAGCGACTACTGGCTTTTTGCAGACATTAAAAAGATGCTCCAGGAAAGAAATTTGGCTGAAATGCTGAAGCGATTGCCGAAACAGAGAGATGTGTATAAGAGACAGACGCTTCGAATTGCTTCCCAACCCACCGTACTCTCTAGATCTAGCTCCCAGCGACTACTGGCTTTTTGCAGACATTAAAAAGATGCTCCAGGAAAGAAATTTGGCTGAAATGCTGAAGCGATTGCCGAAACAGAGAGATGTGTATAAGAGACAGACGCTTCGAATTGCTTCCCAACCCACCGTACTCTCTAGATCTAGCTCCCAGCGACTACTGGCTTTTTGCAGACATTAAAAAGATGCTCCAGGAAAGAAATTTGGCTGAAATGCTGAAGCGATTGCCGAAACAGAGAGATGTGTATAAGAGACAGACGCTTCGAATTGCTTCCCAACCCACCGTACTCTCTAGATCTAGCTCCCAGCGACTACTGGCTTTTTGCAGACATTAAAAAGATGCTCCAGGAAAGAAATTTGGCTGAAATGCTGAAGCGATTGCCGAAACAGAGAGATGTGTATAAGAGACAGCGTTCGATCTTGTAACCGTAGGTTCGTACGAACCTACGGTTACAAGATCGAACGCTGTCTCTTATACACATCTGAAGAGTATGTTGACGAATAAAGTCAAGTTTCTAAAAAAAAATTTGTTTTTCTTAGCTAGACCGGAGACTTATTGAGTGACGATGTGTTAGCTTTATGGAATCTTAATGTGAGATTGACCATGCATCAAGTTCAAGCTCGATGCGCACAATATTATTTCGAATTCATTATTAATTAAATTACGAACGAATATACGAAGTTCGGAATTATACGTGTTGAACTATTTATTGCTTGAGTTATGAGTCGATAAATAAATGTGGGGTTTGCGGCGCATCCAGCTAAGGGTAAATCGTCTTCAGTAAATTAATTAGAGGCGATCGTATGGACGTCGAGGCACCGTGTTGCATCTGCATCGGTTATCCTTGTTTCTTGCGGTCATCATTATCCAGAATACGCGGACGGCCCAATGACCCCCATCCGATGGGTCCTACCCACACACGCTGTCATAATTGTCAACGACGATCGAGAAAACTGATTATTTGGGTCGGCTATACGGAACTGGAACGTATCGCCGATTTATTATTAAGCGGTCGGAGGCTGCGGCGTCCTGGCAACCCGATATTTGCTGCATCGAGTTAATTGCGTGACGTCCGGCTAAGGAGCGTATCAATCGAAACGATCGTAAATTAATTCGACGATAAAGGTACCGGTGGAATCG